TATATATATATATATATATATATATATATATATTACTCTGAAAATAAAAAAAAAATCCAATTGATCTATGGACATGGTAGATCATCCATAAATCTACAACATACTCGGCCTATAGGGTTAGATCACATAAAATTAAAGAAATTACAATTATATATATTTTATTTATTCCAAAAATTAAAAAAAATAAAAAAAAACAATTATTTAGAAAAAAAAATCAATTGATCTATGGACATGGTAGATCATTCATAAATCTACAACATAATCAATTTCTAGAGCTAGATCAAAAGAAAAAACTAAAAAATTTCACTTTTTTCAAATTTTTATTATTTTGAAAGTTCTTTAAATATTCACAAAGATTTACATATAACAGCAAAATAAGTGGGATTTTTCATACAAGAATAATAGATCAATATACATAAAGATGTTTTCAAGCATCTAAACTAAAAAGAACCTAAAAACATTGGCTGGAAATGTAAAAAATTTTGAAAAAACATCATATTTTYGTTACTTTTTAAACAACCTTGAAAAACTTGTTGAATATTTCCATTTTATAGGTGTTTTCATGGGTTTTTTTCTAGATTTGAGTCTCTACGAATGTAAAGAAAGTTTCTGGAGGGTTTGGGGAAGAAAGAGGGCTTCTAAAATGGGTTTAGAAGCCCTCTTGTGAAGGCTATTCTATTTGTAACAGTGAATTCATCGCGTATCGGCCRAAACATGCCGAAACGGGCCGATACCAGCCCGATACGAGGTTGATACTATTTCGGCATGGAGAAAAGAGACGATACCTTCAATTTAGGACCATCTCTCGTGCCAGTAAGTCGAAAAACCAATACATATCAACTTATACGAGCCGATACATGACGAAATTTTAAACCTTGCCCCCGCCTACTTCAATTGTTACCAACACTATAATTAGTAATCAGGGTGGCAGCTATGGAACTACTTTTGACTTTCAAGAAAGACATATTTCTGATTGGTTGTTAAGTAGCCGCCAGGCGGATGGAGGGAGAGAGAGGGAGGAGAGATGTCTCATCTGTGACACTCAAGGTAGAGGAGAGGAGAGGAGCAAAACGAGTCTCATTTTTCTTAACTTAACTAACGGCGAGTCTCGTTTTGCTTTAGCCCTTCACACAATTCGGAGGACGTGTGGCGTGTCCTCCGAATGTSCGAACAATGCCTTGACTAAGGGTGCCTGGACTGAAGTCGAACTCTTCCCGATTGGCTCAATTGGTGAGACGTTTGAATGATGGATTGACAAACCATATTACAATTCTCATGTTCGAGGACAAGGGGTGGCCATGAGCCGAGCTTTTTACGAGCTATTCGAGCTCAGCTCGTGAAAAGCTTGGCCCGACTCGGTTTAAATTGAGCTTTGAGCCCGATATATAGGCTCATTTGCTAATCGAGCCGAGCTCAAGCCCAATGAATCTCGACTCGTGAGGCTCATGAGCCTAGTATTAAATAAATAATTTTTATTATATACAATAAATATTTTGTATTAATATAATATTTTATTTTTCATGTATAATAGTAAATAATTTTTATAATTCTTATTTTCTTGTATGTAAAATAAAAATAATTTTATAATTGTTTTTTATTAATATAAAATTAAATAATTTTTATAATTCTTAATTAGTTGTCTAAAAATTAAAAAAATAATTTTATACATATAATTTTTATTTTTCCAAAAATAACTTGGCTTATCGAACTTGCAAGTCGCGAGCTATGAACCGAGCTGAGCTTGAACTTAAACCTCTAGCTCGAATCGAGCTCAAGCCTGATACTATTCCTACAAACGATCTCGAATAGCCAAATATTCAGCTTGGCTCAGCTAGAATCCACCCCTATCCGGGACCAACCAAGTTGAGTTTCCAAGGCAAAAAAGTGAGCACTCTCATTTTGATTGTTGAAGTTAAAAGAATTGTGATTGGTCCTGGAACAAAGAATCAAAATGAGAATGCTCACTTTTCGCCTTGGAAAATTGGAAAACAACCTGATACTTCTAACCATCCCTACGTGCCTATCTGTGAAATTCAAACTGAAAAGGTTTAAAAAAAAATGAGCAACGCTTGTAGAAAACTCATGGAGTATCGATACTTTGAACCTTGTTTTTACCTACATTTCAGGCTCAAGATTAGTTCAGGACTTCGGGCAACGCTTGTTGTGGTTGCAACATAAAGTAGGAAGATTTTTTATGTCTCTGGAGCTGTATACCGATTCTCTTTTTGCAAATCTGGTTGTGCATCCTGCCTTACGTACTCCCTTTTTGCTTTCAATAGATAAGTTTTTTTTTCCTTTTCAAAAAAAGAAAAATTGCAGATACACCATTTTGACCATCTCACAATAAAAGTTGCATGTTCAAAGTTCTGTTGTTTCTTTCTACTGGAGCACCAAAACACCATTCACATAGTCCAGAACATCCAAGAAAGACAATTCTCAGTTTATATACCTTTGGAAAGCCTCTTGGGTTGGAAATGGACTAATACTGATTGGTTACCCCCATCCGTGGGCCATTAAGTACCGCATTGCAACAAGAAAAGGTGCAGAGTCTATTAATTTCCTGCTAATTGCTGATGCTTACAACATGAAAACAAAAATTTATACAACTTATATTTATAAGGCAGAAGGCACATGCAATTGCACGTGGTATTGATAGTACGTAGAAAAGATAAGACATCCACCTTATGCAGATTTTTGAGCAAGTGGGGTACCTGCTTGATATAGTAATAGATATTCACTACAACATCACCAAGATTTATACAACTGTATTTAACCAACTGGGTGTTGAGTATAGAAATATACATACACCTGCAGCCTCGAAAAGCTGTACATCACAGTAGCTCTAACCCAAATTACAGCCCCATACCTCATTCTTGAGCTAGTTGATCCAATGAGGTTTCAAAATCAAATATAATCATTGCAGGATCCACTGGATCAGGTTGGGCTTGATCTGGCTCACATGGCACATAGTCTTCTGTAATCCCCAGAATGGACTGCTCGTCAGCATAAACCCAGTCCTCCCCGTGGAAGTCAGACGGAACAGGATTGATGCTACTAGGATATTGGATATTAGACTCTGTGACAGTTAATGGGTCAAGGTTGGACTGAGGACTTTGAAGTTTAGGATCCATTACAGTAGAAAGTCGTATGCCCTGGGTTGTGGTATTTATTTCTCTGGAGCTGAAGTATAATGGATTTGCATTTGTGGCATTTGGAGCAGAATTCCCATGAGCATATAAATTATGGCCGTCATTTTGTTGCAGTATAGGTTGACCATATGCCTGAGGTTGAGAAGAAATGGGATATGACTGGAAGTCTGTAGTAATCCCCATGTTTGGCTGGGAGGATCTCTGACACAAACCCACATCCGGATTGTTTCCTGAAAGGATGCCCTGCCACCTTGTGTGGYGGTCCTTGTTCAGTAATATTGGGATAGCATGCCTTCTTGGTTGCTGTGATGTGCAAGCAAGGTCGTTATTACTTGACAAACCATATGGTCCATATCCAGCTCGTTGATTTATTGTTGAACCACGTCCCAGATTACCTACCCTTTTAGGTGGATAAAAATGAGGTCCATATCTCACCTTTCGGATGAGATTGGTTGTACCAGATATCAATTGAGATCTGCTTAAATCCTGTGAGAATCTGTTTCTGGAGTGGATGACTCCTGACCGGGGGTTCCTCCTTGGGTTTATGATATTTGGGGTGCTAAAATTGGTAGTTGATGAGCAAGCACGGAGATGGGCTGAGCTGGAGGGTGATTGAATTGGAACAAAGCCACAATTAGGAGGTATTAGTCGATGTGGCGTTTGAGTTGTGTTAGAAGAGAATGGCATCATGGAAAGAGTACTAGCAGGAAGCTTTTGGAAAGCTGGTGGTGCTGCCTTGCCTTGTTTAAGACATATCCTCTGTTCTTTCCATATCTCCTCTTTATCAATAGCATGACAATGATCAGTACTGGAGAGGCCACTACCCCAGTAAGCACATGGAGCAAGTGAGTCACATACATAGCAATGGCACTGCACTTCCCAAAGTGGAGCAAATAAAAATACTAAAAGGAAATCAATCAGAATTTTAGAATAGAGCCTAAAATAGAAAGGGCCATTGCCCACTGTTAGTCTCATCTCTCTGGTGCCTTGGGAGGAGTGGATTGGATATGGACCTAATCTTTTGACACTTTTCAGCCCAAAGTGGGTATTCTCACTTTTCAGCCCAAGATTTATCACTGCACCAAGCAATGGCCCCTAGAACCTAAAATACAAAATGGTACCAATAACAAAGGCTACAATTTTCACATTAGTGAATGGGTGAACATACCAGGTCACAGTACTTCTCATGTGGAGTAGAACCAAAAGGAAATTTAGCACACAAGTGTCGTGGGTGAGGATAATCTCTGCATGCTAGCTGCAAATGAACAGACAAAATTGAGAATTGATGTTAGTCTTACAAAAATACTCACATCCATGACAAAGTAGATGTATGCATGAGGTCAATGACTGCAACAAATACATTACAAAAGCACGAAACAGTTGAACAATGCAATCAGAATTATTTCTTGAGCTAAAATGAAATTATTAACCATATAGGAGAATGTTAATATTTTTCCAATGGTAATCCGCCCCAATTTTGGTGGTTAGATTTAACAAAAAAAAATAATTGACATATACAGGCATCCAAAAACAAATATAATAGTCCACATCCAGGCTCCAGCATGATGCTCCATTGAAGCCGAAAAGCATAGTAGCAATCAGCACTGTCCACATGTGTGTGTGTGTCTGCATGAGAGTGGGAGAGAGGAAGAGGATGTGTGTAAAAGAGAGTGATGCAGTTTAAAATTATGTTTCAAGAAGCACCAAATCAAGTTCTACTAAGTAGAGAATTTAATGGGTTTCCAACATGCAATAGCTAGTTTGTTAGTGGGATTCTAACAACTAGTTTTACATTAAATACTCTAACAGCTACCTCTTCCCCTATATAAAGCCATTTAACYTTAAGTGTGAGGCATCCAGTTCAGAGAATACTCTCTTGGGTGGGTGAGTCCCTAACCCCTAGGATGAGGAGTCCCTAAATCTTGTTGCCTCCATGAAATCCATCTCTTAATTTAYAACATTCCACCCAATTTCCGTTCTCTGCCTTATTTCGTTTTTAAGTTATTTTATCATTTTCCTTCTTGTTACTTCAACTACGTGAGAGAGAGAGAGAGGTTAATGTGGCAACGTATGTAGAACCCAAAAGCAGGTTTGCAAATTTGTTTTTAAGTTATTTTATCATTTTCCTTCTTGTTACTTCAACTACGTGAGAGAGAGAGAGAGGTTAATGTGGCAACGTATGTAGAACCCAAAAGCAGGTTTGCAAATTTCGGGGCTTACCACTGGCATAGGGAGCAACAGGATTATGGAAATTTCAGGCCTCAAAGACACCAAGAAGGAAAGATTGAGGAAGGAACAGATAGAAGGATGAGACCCTTTTAGTAAGACCTGAGTGGATAACCCAGTAAGGTTCAAGTGAATGAGAGACAGTTAAATGTACAACTTTTTTTATCAATAACAAAACCTTTTATTAAAGAAAATAAAGCAAAGTACAAAGGAACCTAGGGGAGAGGTAAACTCTCACAACCCTCCCCAAGAAATACAAGAAACAAATTATAACACAGCCCAGAACATCTGCTCCCTTCCAACCCCTTGTTTAGTAAGTGTATTTGCAAATGAGTTGGCACTTCTCTTCACCCATTGGAGCCGAATCTCTACACCCCGAGTTAACCATTTGAACTCCCCTTTTCATTAGCATATTTCCATGGTCCACTCTTCTCCTTTTGCAACCATTCTATAACCAATTTTGATTCTCCTTCAACATATAACTTTTGTAGATTCAATTCCTTAGCCTTCTTTAACCCTTCCGGTACTGGCATAACCTAGCTCTAAGAGAATCACCTACCCCAATAGAACCAGAATACAACACAATAACTACCTCAATAGTACTGGCATAACCTCAGTTACAAGTTACGATTTCTGAAAAGGTATTTATAAATAGCTGGAAATCAACAACCAGCATCAGGATTCATAAGAGACAAATGGCTGAAGATAGCCACACAAGGGGCATGCTTTTATTTTATTATACCCATTCCGTTGCTCTCAAGTATTTGTGATGGCATATGGTTGACTGTTCGTGTATAAAATAGAAATAAGGCATAAAATTCTTCCTTTTGAAACAAAGGCCATTACCCAATAATGGTCTCAGCTAATTGAGGTCTTGGGAGGGGTCGACTGGGTACGATCCTAAACTGAAATTTCTTTTTTGCACAAAGTGGCTGCCCTCAAACTCAAACCTACATTCTCACATTTGCCAGCCAAAGATTTTACCATTGCATCGAGGCATAAAACAAAAGAGTCCAATGCAGTTCTTTTATGGATTTTTTTTTGGATAATTAACAGATTTCTTTAAGCAAGACAGAAATATATGTACAGATACAGCCTCCTAGTGGGACCTCAACCCATTACATAAAATACAGTTACAACTGTACCCAATACATATATTCCCTATTTACCCCTTGCTTTGTAAGCGTRTCAACCAACCCATTTGCAGTTCTTGGTACCCACTGAATTGCAAACAGCAAATCTCTTTTTTCTTGATTGGCAACAATAAAAGAGATTCATTCATTAATTAGAAAAAGAAAAGATACGTGTGGTTGTGATTACTATCAAGAAGAAATCAAATAGTCTCTGCTATCCCACCCAGAACTTGCATTTTACAACATTTTACAGCATAGCCAAAAGTACTGTCACCTATTAACTCCCTGCTTTGTCAAACCATCAGCTGAGCTGCTGGCTGATCTTTGCACCGAAATTACCTCAATCTGCATATCCTTTGAAAACCATTTAACCTGCCTAAATTCATTACAGAAACACCAACATCCTATGATGGGTTGTGATTTAGATGGTATCCCCCCTTCTGGGTGCTTGTGGCTACCAAGCTTCACTTGGGTTAGACCATAGATGCCCCTCTCTTTTACATCAGTTGCCTAATTCTCCCTGCAACTCCTTCAACTTCACCAAAGTCTTCCTGGAGGTTAACAATAAAGAGTTCTATCAGATTGAGTTCATCATCTTGATCCATGCAATGCACAAAGTTTCATTAACACTGCCTAAGTTGTCGTATCATCCAAGTTGCTTACAAGTCCTTACTCCTCTAGATTAATCCACCTTGCCACTCTGTTCACCCCTACACCTCGACTATCTGGATTAGGGAGCTCTTACTCAGAGTTATCATGCAAGACCCATTAGAGCACAACCTTTCTCCTGCAACTCTTGTTTTTCCTTCTCTCTTTAAGTGCCTACAAAGGAAACGATGGTAGATTGAATCTATTGTCTCCCATCAAGGTTTTTTTAGCTTAGCCATGCATCCACTTAAGTGATCACATGACTTGGTTAATTACTTTCGGTTCAGCCCTACTACATTCAACCAGGTCAATTTCACCGAACCTCAATGGTCTGCCCACTAGCTTTTGGGCCAAAAAACTACTGCACGCGCTAGCTCTCAAGCCGTTGCACTAACGCGCAACAGCAGCGCGCTAGCGCGTGCAGTAGTTTTGAATCTTGCTGCAACGGCAAAGCGCGTTGCAGCGCCCTAGTGGGCGCCTGAATTTGCAGCCTTCACTTGCTTGCACTCAAGCCGTTGCGCTAACAGCATGATGAAAAACRGATGCAACAAGCAACGGATTGAGCACTAGCGCAGCGCGGTAGCGCAACCGCTTTCTTGCTGCTAGTGCACTAGATCGAGCAAGGGTTGTCGTACACTCATCCCTTACTGAAAGTGGGAGGTCAGCGGCATCGGTAAGCATTCCGGTCTTAAGCCAATCAGTCCGAGTAGGCAGCAAGCATAGGGGCATCAGTGCTTCCGACCCAGCCAATTTAATTCAAAAACTTTTGAATTACTTTCCATATTAAACTTCCAACCCATTCGTATCTCCTCCATTGCTGACCCTTCAATTTCCTTACTTAAATTTTTCTTTCTTTCATTTTCTTTGCCTATCTCTCTCTTACACATGGCAATCTCCATGCCACATCACCTTCTTTTTCTACCTTTCTCCCCTGCAACCAAAGTGTCACTTTGACTTCTAAYACTAAACACACCTTTCTCCACCTTCCTTCTGGAAACAACTCCAAGGATCTTGGAATCTTTTCATAGTTGGCACCCACGACCATAAGTCTCATAGCATGAAAGGCCCTCCACAAGGTACTACAATCTTTTCAAACACATGCTCCAACCACAAATTAAATGGTAGACCAAAAATCTTCAGAACCACACTTCCTTCTTGAAAATCTTTCAAGAGGTTTTTTTATTGTAAGTACACCTTCCTTCATCTCCACGGTCAAGAACTCTGACTAAAACTCCCCCAGGTCAAGTACTGTTTTATTATCTTTGATAAGCATTAGAACTATCATCTCTTTGGTTTGAATTTTATGCATTTCTTCCAACACACTCTTCCAATTTCTCACCTTCTCCTTAGCTACAATCACCATTTTCTTACCCTAGTCCTCCTTATTTCCCTAGGACCACCTTCGATGTTAGAACAGAGCCGCCTACAGTCACTTTCAGTGATTTTTCCACTTCTTCGTAGCATTTTGGTTCTGGTTTGCAACCCCCATTTCCTTGAGACTTCCAAGCTCCTTCCTACTTTAAGAGATAAATAGAAGAGAAACATTATTAAGATAGAAAGAGGTTACAAGAAAGGTGACAATAAATCACCTGCACCCAAAGAAAGAAAGCCCAAATCATGACCCAACAACCCTTAACAAACTTACAAGTACAAAGGAAAAAACAACCAACCCTTTACCCAATAACTTTAAACATTCAACCCAATTAAAACACCTTGCTACAACAAAACCCCCAACCCTCCTGAAAGGACACAACTTGTCCTTCCTATTCCATTTCCTCTCAACAAGTTCCTCCATTACCTTTGCCACCAACATCCAACCCTGTCTTTCCTCCCTTCTGGAAAGCAAGCAATTTGCTTTCTTTAATTACCAAAAACTTCAATAAGGATCATAAAACAACCAAATTTATTATTCAACAATATAAATCTTTCCATATCTTCTGAACTCACCCTTCCATCCTAGGGCCTTCACCGCATGTATTGTTCTGTCCAGAAACCCTTTAAACCAATTGATTAAGTCTTTGACCAGGAAGACAATGGATTTCTTATCATCACTCACCTTCAACACATCACCTCCTTTGATTTCCTCAAACACAAAGCTTTTTTTTTCTCCACTAAGATCTCCTTCCTTCATCCCATCGCTGCTTCAAAGCCCTCTTCTATCTAGAGTATGGCTCGGCCCGCCCCTCTTAACAAATCCCTTATCAACCATTTAAACTTTTTTAAGCATCTCTCCATAATCTATAGGCCCAGACTATCTGCTTCTCATTCTTTATCCAGCCAACCACCACCTAAGAGTCACCTTCAATAATTAGCCTATCCACATTCAATTCTTTTGCTTTATATACTCCAACCATCACAGAAAGGAGTTCAGATCTAGTAGACTCCCCTACCCCAATAAGAATTGAGAATAAGGCTAAAGTATGACCTTTCTTATCTCCAAACACCCGTCCTACACTTAAGGGACCCAAGTTACCACAACTACTTCGATCAAAATTTTATTTAATGAAACCCTCCTCCAGTGGCAACCAATCTTGCTGAACTTTAGCCTTTTATATGAAGATATAACCAGTTCCCTCCATTTCCTTCTGATATCAACATAAGAAAAAGGTGTGAATACGTCCAAAATTTTTAATTAATGTGTCACTCTTATTGGGAAGCAATCCAACACTTCTCCTTAGTTCCCTCCTTTTCATTAAAAATTCTTGAGTTTCTTTCCACATCATGCATCTTCACGTCAACCTTCCCCTTTTCCTCAACCAACTAAAAGCACCAACCTCAAACAAACTGATCAGGTTCATATACAAAGTCCACCTGCACCCAAATGAAAAGCATTTCCAAATTTAGGTAACAAAAGGAAAGGAGATTAGTAGGTGGTAATCAATCTCACAATCTGCCTTGCAAAGAGAAAACCAGTTTGGGGTATACAAAATTCTTCCTTCTTTTTTGCAAAACATCCATAGTAATACACCTCCCAACAGAAAGCCTGGATTTTAGGGGGGGACAGGTCTACACCAAATTTCATGAACATGAAGTGAAGAATGCACCAAAAAAAGAACAAAGAGCCCAAAAGAAAGAGGCACAAGAGAATGAGACTTTAGGATTAGGAGTCCAATCCTCCCATCAAGCTAGGAGGGGTCTAAAACAATATGCTCAAGTAGTTGCAACAAAGTACTGCCACCATGCCATTTAGAATCCCTCAAACCTTGTCTAAAACCCAAGTCCCAATCAAACCCAGCAACAATATAAGAAGAAGAAATGAACTTTGAGATAGGCTCCTTCTTGAATAGTGAAATAGAGAACAAGACTTGGAATATGTCTTTCAAATGACAAGCACCTAATCAAAGGTCTTCCCAAAATAAAATCTTATTACTTGAGTAAACATCATACCTAACACAAGGAAGGAATTGTGGCAGCATTACTTGAATAGCTTTCCAAGGGGTGGCCAAGGTAGCCTAAGAAGACACATTAGTATCCCATCCATTTTCCAACATCCGTGGACACTCACCACCACTTTATGCCACAGTTTGTGATTCTCTAGTGACAGCCTCCACAGCCATTTACCTCACAAAGCTACATTCTTCATTGCTAAACTACCTACTCCCAAACCATCTTGATCCTTACTCCTACAAACAATTTCCCACTTCACCAAATGGTCCTTCTTACCCTCCCCCAGTTTCCACAAGAAATCCCTCATTAATTTCTCCAATTTGTTGGCAATTTCCTATGGAATACCAAATCCTGAAGACTAAGAGGTAGCACATAGGAAGATTAGCAAATGTAGATTTAATCAAAGTTGTTCTACCCCCCAATGAGATATAATTCCACTTTGATGTTGTTGATCATTTCCCAAACCTTTCTACAATTGGTTTTCAAAAACTACAACTTCTAGGATTGCYTCCCAATGAGAGACCCAAGTAATTCATAGGCCAAGTACTAGTCGGACACCCAAGATCTCCTACTATGGTAACTAGTACAACATCATCCACATTCACCCTAGTTACACAACTCTTCTCAAAAATTACCTTAAGTTCAGCATTCCCTCAAATAATCTTATTAGCAATCTCAGCCTCCTTACCTGTTGAGGTTTACTACCATAACAAAAAATTATTATATCATCAGCAAATTGAAGGTGAGTAACTACAACATTATCCCTTCCAACTCTCCAATCAATGGTGATAATACAGAGTTGCCAAAAACAAGGGGCAAATGAAAAACCTTCAATTATATAGATTCTGCAACCAAAAATTATCTGATCAACACTTCAATCATTTTACACCCACCGTGCCTATGTTGTATGGATGATTTTTCTTTCATATTAATGAAACCTCTTTGATTGTTATTGCTCAAAAAAAGGTGAGAATCGATAAGAAGCCAGAGAGGGGCATAATGTATGCACAATACATAAATAAGTGATTAATCAGCTCCTTATTTGTACTGGATACGGGCCTAACATCCAGAATTTTTTGCACATAGTGGCCGCTCTCACACTAGTACCCACATGCTCACACTTGTAATCCCAAGATTTTACCATCAGACAAAACAATTTGTGAACTAACTAAACATATGAACACGTAATTGCATACAATATGACAGAACTACGTACAATATAAAACATTAATRACTGGTTAAAATTGACCAAGTGTTATCAGAACAGAACCAGATGTAGAAAATTCACACWAGAGATGCTAAAGAACAATCATTTACCATTATAAAATCATACAATTTTGTTGCACCAAGGTATGTATGCTAAAAAAGTTTATGAGAGTTCATGGACCAATTCCACAGAACAAAACGTAACATAACAATATATCATCCTATTAGCTGCAAGCCTGCAACATACCATAACCAGTAAAAGAAAGGGGGAAATAATACAAAGAAACATAACCTCTTTACCTGCCCCTTTTCGCTCACAATAAGCAACTCCTCTRACTCATCCGCAGTATCATTGACAACTGCAACTGGGTTGTCAGGGTCACCATCCAAAATCATGCATTCATCATCGGAGACATCCTTAGGCTTTGCAGCATCCGAGGGCCTGTAGTTCTGCTTTTGAGTGACAGAACTAGACCTAACCTCATCCACAAACACAACGTCATCCGATTCTTCTGTTTCATTACCAACCGGACTAAGCAGTTCCGATATCCAATCATAATTATCACCGGTGACTTCTTCACAGGCACCCTCTTCATCAGAACTAATTTCAAGAATTATGGAGCTGGGGTCCATTATTCTAAACAAAGCCAGATCAAATTAACCAGGAAATAAACAAACTTGGATCAAAACGACGGAACTTTTTCATGGGCTTACGAAATTATCAAAAGGGATTTGCAGCACAACTCTCTTCAAATAGAAAAACATACAATTTCAAATTTGGAAATTTCGTGGGAACAAAAGTAATACTGGTGCTTTTAGCTTAGTAAAGATCGATTTGAAAGGGCAGAGACTAAGTGGAAAGGGCAGAAACTTTTCTGGTTAAAGACGTGAACAATTTTGATAAAAGGCTGCATTGCAGGGGAATTCAGATTTGGAGGAGGAACAAAAAAAGAGAGAAAATCTACCTATCTAGCATCTAATCTATACTAAAATAACTAAAAATCCAACTCTGGAAAGTGAGTTATTTCCTCCCTTCTTTTGTGCAAACCCTCGTTCCAAAATGGAGAAAAAAGGTATGGAACTACTATTTTACTATGCATGACTGCAAGTCAGGGGAAGAGGAAAGGTCAGCGATTGAATCCACAGCGATTGAACCAATTTGGGCCACTTAAAAGCCCACGACTGAAATTGAACCAATTTGGGTCGTGGACAAGGAGCCCCCTACAGCAAAGTGCAAACCCTGAGTGTAGATAATTTCTTATACCCTCTTCAAAGCCTACTACTGCATTGGGATACACATCGATCAATTTAACTGAAGCTTAGGCCAATTGGGAAGTCATTAACATTGCTATTAATTTTAAGGACTCACCCATCATCATTGAAGGTGATTCAAAGCTCCACACCAATTGCCTTAGGAAAACAATAAAGCCCCAGTGGATATTGGAGAACATCATCAAAGAATGCCTCAGTGTCTGCCCCCCTCTTTAACTCTATCTTATCAAGAAGCAAATCAAGCGGTAGATTGGCTGGAAAAAGTGCTTATTATAGGACGGGATGGCACCAATAAACACTTATGGTTGGCACACATATGAATTTGGGAAATAAGTCCAAATAAGTGATTTTGCAGGAAATAAACCCATTTTCAATAAGATCAAAATTTGGGCTTTTTTCAAGCACTTGAAAAAAAACACTTATTGTGTTTCTGACCCGTCTGTTCCAACGTAATTTTCAAAATACTTATACTATCCCATTTGAAAGAAGCACTTTTTCATTAAACACTCATAAGCACTTATTAATAGGCATTAGAACACAACTTGAATTTGAATGAGCATTAAGATAAGCATTAGTATAAGCTCTTTTTCACCAAGTACCTCTTTTATGTAACATTCATGTGAATTTGGATTTGAAATTTACCAATTAGTATGGACAAGAACAAAGTATTAGGACACAACTTGAACAGTCATTCAGATGGATCCCTAGGGCTGCAAATGCTTTGGCAGGTCTAGGATTATGCAACTGATATGGGTGCAACTTGAGCGGTCAGGTTGATAACTTCTTAAAACTTAAATGAGCTCGGCCCAAAAGATCAGGTCCAATATAGTTTTTTAAAGGAATCAGGTCCAACATAGTGTTATTCTTCAAATCAATTATTCAACATGCACCCCTTGTAATTGAAATCTTGATGCTTGTATTTTTTTCCCCCCTTCTGCAGCGTTTTGAGTAAATAAGGTTTTATAGAATGAAAATCATGCCATTACTTGTCAAAAAAAAACAAATAATAAGAACGACTCTAACTGAGATCCAAGTAAGAGACTTTTGAAGTTCACTCAATAGAACCAATGAGAAATTGAGAGGTGGGGTTTACAGATATAGGGAATGGAGGATAAAACAAATGACCAATCCATAGATTCCTATGGCCAGTCTATGTGTCAGAAACAAGGTAGATATATCAAGTTCCAATCTTCCATGTTTGGTACAACTACAGAACCTCTTTCTTTCTAGTGTAAATTTGAAACGGATACAAATCATTCATTTGATTTTTTTTTTTTTTATTCGGTGCTATGCAGTGTGCACCATTAATAACTTCTCACTGACCCTTTTTCCTCAAAGTGCTGGTTGCAGGATTTGATTTTGCATCAACACTGGAACAAACCAGCTAATAGACCAATGAGTCRGTCCTCGGTTGGTTTGCTCTTCTACGTGGTGTAAAATTTACACTTTTGTTTCCATTTGTAAAAATTAATGATGCAAATTTTGTATAAAAAAAAAAAGTTCATGTTAAATTTGCACCACCTTCTTTCCACCTTAATAGTCTCTCCCGTATTAAGTGGGGACTACACCATTTTGCCTCCTATGTTACTCCCTCAGACAAATAGAAATAACCTACCACCAGTCTCCATTCTCTTTTACATAAAGTAAGAAGCACATCATTTTGTATATGTTTGATTCCACTTACRTTTATTGAGTAAATGTTTATTGACGGTGCCATATAAGCGTCCCATCAGCAAATGTCTCATTGATTGCATTTGTGTGTATCGAAATTTGCAAAAGCAAACTTCAATTTCTATGTGCATCTCCCATTTCAGGAAGCGTTTATTGGCATTTTGCTGATGTGGTGCCTAATGGCGCCTATGTGTCATAAATACYCTCATTAAATGTATTTCTCAGTTTTACAATCACACAAGTACAAAACATTTACTGATTAAACGTAAATAGAACCAAACACCCTCTTTATTTATCACAAACAAGAAAAAAATTAACACAAATCTGAAGGAAAAAATATAGAACTTGTAGCCCATTGCATTTACACCAGTTCAAATGAAATTTATAATGCAAAATAAAGAACTTGTACTGCATTGGACCCAGGCCCATTCAAATTTTACAAATCCTCAATCCAAACCCATTATGTCCTTGGAACATGGTCACATCTATTTTCCCATATTATAGGCAAATTTTGTAGCTGATCCAAATGGTCTATTATATTCATTTACAGAATTCGTTTCAGTCCCACACCTCTGCTTGTATTGAACTTTTTCTAGATTTGTACAAACCATCAAGGTTGTTTGATACCATTGTTATTTGAGGCTTAACATTTAGAGAGACAATGACATTTGATGTTTGACACAAAACTTGTTTGGTTGGTATTTTGTTTCTAGGTAAACTTTACTATATTAGCAAAAAGCTGAAACATAATGTTCAATACAAACTGAAGGGCTGTCCCATACTACAAAATTCACATCAATAAACTTAACTAGCTGAGCTAAAGAATGGGCTGCCCTATTAAACTGTCTGTCTAGGAATAAAACTAAACTTAACAACTACAAAGACTGACATCATGGATTTAATCCTGTCCACCCAAGCAGAAACTTCCCATGGAAGGGAAGAACCTTTACACAAAAAACCCACTACTAATTTAGCATCAGTGAGGATTATAATTATGGTTCAATGTATCGGGCGTATCGTATTGTATCTTTTGAAAATTATACGGTTCGAAATGTCTGTTTCCAGGTGTTTCRGCCCCCAATTTTTTTAATAGTAAAAAACAGGTTATAAGCTTTCCAAAAAACCAAACTTTGAAAAAAAAAAAAAAACTAAACAAAAAATAGAGTTTCAGCCATTTCTAAGTGCTGATACGATATGGCCGAAACTCGTATCATATCGATACTTTGAACCTTGATTATAACATAGTTCCACTTGCGGTTGGCAACTTTAAGGCCAAGTAGATCGCAAAAAGTTCAGCCATTATAAAAGAGTAAACACCATTTAGCTCTGCACCTGCTGTACACATAAGGATAAATTTGCACTTTGGTTCATTTTTGTCTGTGTTTGGCAACATTACATTTATATACTGACAAATGACAGAAAACACATTTTCTAATGCATATTTACATTGATAATGAGATGTAAAAGTACAAACAAAAAAAGTAAATTTGTATTCCAATGGGCTTTTAATAAAAAAACAGAAAAGTACGAACAAGCCCACTGCAGAATTCTGATTTTCACTGCAGACATATAACATTTCAAAATGTCAATTACCCCCACCCTATGCGCCAATGCCCCCCCC